TAAAAAGCTAATTATGACAAAAGGAAAAAAAAATAAAAAATGCGTGTGTGTGTGTGTGTGTGTGTGTGTGCGAATACATAACATTTTCGAAGAAATATTATTATAGTAGCCAATATACCGCCCGTGAAGTTTTTACAGAGCTGTCTCCAGCTTCATGACCACTTACCATCGGAAAATGTAAAAGAAATATTACAAGCCAGGTTAGATTTAATGACAAGATCGTTAAGTTTTTTTTCAAGCTATCCTGGTTGCAGTTTAAAACACATCAGGTCATTACACTCTTCAATGTTGCACGAATGCGCAGGTCTTGAAGTACCACTACCTGATAAAAGACTGGCGTCAAAGATAGCAACGCATCTGCAATTCTATGGGTGTTGCAAATGTCAGTGGGCGGCGGTTATCACTCAACATCAGCTACTGACATAAAAGAAAAAGAAAGAATTTATTGAAGTTTATTTATATAGGACAAGAAGATACATAAATGCACTAACTTAAATAATGCTATGCTAATGTTATCTTGAAAATTATCAAATTGATAAAACAACTATCATAATAATATTAATAGTAATGATTGTAATATATATTTGTACTTATACGCACCTAAGAAGTTATGCTTCTTTGGCGAAACAAAGGATAAACGACTAAAGAGTGTAGCCTCCTTCCAGTACTCTATGTTTTTGAAAAAGACATTAAATGCGGTTGAATTAATAGTTTAATTAAATAAGTTGGATTTATAGATTAATGTCAAAATTGTAATTGGTTGCCATGGTTATACCGCGAAGTTGGTCGCTTTGCAATCCACTTCGTCATGTCTCTTTCTGGCTGTCTACGTGCGAGCGCATCGTAAGAATTTTACTCTCATGTTTATTTCCAGACGCGCCAAAAGAAGAACACCAAAGATGATTTGTTACATCTTACTGTACAGTAACTGTTATAATGCAACTGGCCCGAATGTTGCACTTATCAAATAAACTCTACTATTGCGTAATGTGCAACCAATCCAAGACTCTATATTAAGGCACCGTTAGATATTAAATAATCAACAACTAACAGCCGGCAGGTCGCGTGAAGCGTGTAGAAACGCCCTAATTAGCAAGATAATCTATTTTAAGCGGTTCGTTTTTTAAGGCTCACTCGAATTATACTGCAATATTTTCAATGATTCTAGACAAGGTAGACTAGTTTTACGTATATAAAATACTTATAGATCGATTCAGCTTCAGCGGAAAGGGCCCAACACAAAAACAACCAGGTCAGGAATAACCTCCAGTGTTTTCTTTAACAAAATATTAAATTTAAAATATATTAAGTATACATAATTATGCAAAAAATGTATATAATTATATCCGTATTTTCATTGTTCTAGTTCACGATGTTGTCACCAATAAAAAAACTGCAAAAAAACGTAGGTATAAAATTTAAGGAAGCATTAAAATTATTCATTCTTATCAGCATATTTTTGTTAAGATGGTAACTAATAAAAAACTCAGAGTTTATTGACTTCACTGTTACAGTGTATTTAAATTATGGTATTGGTCTTCAGCAGACACGCGGATATTATGGTTTTAACTTTTTTATTTCATATCGTATATCGTCAAACAAAACTAGTTTTCAAGTATTTAATCCTAACGGAATAGAAAGAAGCAGCTAGTGGTATTTATTTCAGATAGATGATATCCCAAATTTGTTTGAAGCAAATGACGATAATTTTGTTTAATAAGTGTTGTAACTTGTTATTTTTTATGGAGCTGGCGGTTCACCTGATGTTAACTGATAACCGCCGCCCAATGTCATTTGCAACACACGTAGATTTCCAGATGCGTTGTCAACTTATAATAAAGTCGGCCCCGCCTACCTCACTCACTAGATGAAACGCTGAAGTGTAACACTTCCAACTTACGCTGATCTTCTATGAGGTCATGGTACTAACACAGATGGACCTGCCCATTCGTGAAACATTGAAGACTGTTTCATGGCCCTACTACAGTTGAATAAATTTTATGTAGTAATTGTATACGATGGAAGGAAAATATTGGTAGATATCACAGTCTTAAAGTATTTTGATGGGTTCGATTTAAACTCAATTGCGGACCGAAAGAGCAGTATTTAATGTTACATATACATATCTAATTATTCGTATTATGTTATGCAACATAATGCCATCTTTTATATGCGAGATTACAATGACTTTGCAAAATTAAAAAGGCCAGTCGGACATAAATTGACGTAGTGATGACAATTTACAATGAAAACTGATCACAGAATGTTATCATTGCGAAATACAGAGAATAAAGTGTTAAGTGCTAGACAGCAAGTGTGACATTAAAATAACGAGTAGGATTTGCCTTACCGAGGCTGTACAAATGAAAGTATTATTCGTTTATGTTAGATAAAACTGAATCAAAACGCGTATGTATCTGGGCGCTCGCCTTTAATTCAATATACTCGAGCAACTTGAGTTCGATCCCCGATGCCGGCACCAATGAAGTTTTTAACTTTAAGTGCTGACTTATCACGTGCTCCGCGGTGAAGGAAAACATCGTGAGGAAACCTGCATATTTTCGAAATAATAACAAAAAAAGTATATTTCGAAGATATGTGAAGTCAGCCAATCTGCAGTGGGGCTGCGTGGTGGACTATGCCCTGATACCCTCTGTACTGAGGAGGCCTTTGCCCAGCAGTGGGACACCAGCGGTAAAGGCTGTTACTTTACTTTTTTACTTTTATAATTTAGCACCCTGAGTACAAACCCCGGTGCCGGCACCAATGAAATTGTTTAATGCAATCTTAAGTGCTGACCCAAGAAAACATCTTGGAAACCTACGCAGTTTCGAAATAATAACAATAAAAAATATATTTCGGGGCTATGTGAAGTCTACCATTCCGGATCGGATGTGTGCCCTAATACCTTTCATACAGGCGAGGCTTTTGTCTAGCCGAAGGATATTTAAAATCTGTTACTTTACTTACTTTGTGCCTGTGATGTCATAATAAATGGTAAAGTTTAAATGATATTTAGCATGTACAGCAGGCGGTTCACCTGAGGGCTTGCAGATCCGTCGACAACCTGTAAAAAGTAGGCCCCGGTTACCTCACTCACCAGACGAAAAGCGAAAGTTTATTACTTTGACTTCTGTCTGGGCGTGGTCCTTCCCTAGACGCGCCTGCCCACTCGGACAAGAGCTGTTGCGTGGTCCCACCACAGTATGCATGGCATAGTTCACTGTTACAAGAATATGTACCTGCCCCCTGTGTCGAATAGTCTCCGACATGGCCCAACAGGTTTTCAATGATTACTGGATAAAAACATAATTAATTTAATATTTGTATTAATAAATGTCTGACAAACATAAATGTATTAGTCGATGGTATTACCTTTTATTGAGTGAATTGAAAATTGATAAAGAAAAACAACTATTTGAATACTAAGTCTATATTGGCACTGACGAAGTATACTAATGCCTACTAAGTTTCACCTACAGGAGGCAATTAGTAAATGCTTCGTAGAAAATTCTTAGATTCCACCTGACATTTCCACCTGACCTCCTAGCTATTCAGTTAGTACTGAATAGCTACTTAATACTGTAAGTAGATATCCAACTTATTGACTAGAGACACTAGATAGGAGAGCATAGAATATTCGTTGAAAATACCTAATACTAATAAAACCACTTAGATAAGATCATAAAAATTGTATGTTTTCAACCGTTTGTTTAAACTTTACTAATCGGATCCGTAACATTAAGAGCATATTATAGCCGCAATAGAAGATGACGCTACATTTCGTAATTAATTTGCATCGTGAAACTATATAACGACATTTTTGTTGATGCAATACCTTCGAACATTTGACATTTAGAGAGATCGTAAGGAGAGTTCAAACGTCTAAATAGAAAGAAATATAAGGGTCAGACTTTAAATTATCCTCAATGTGTATGGTCAATGGTACCTAGTGTTTGTGATTCGAGATCTGAAATTCTAGGTTCGATTTCATGAAGCATGAATTTTTCATACAATTTGTTTTGTACGAAATTCATTAGATAATAAATAAATATTTCAGGACCTTTTGACGAAACGTTATCTGGTCCCAAATGAAGTAAAGCTTGAACTATGGTTACTAGGTTACTGATAAATATTCTTTGCTTTTGTAAATAAATTCTAGAAGCCTAGAATCTGAACATTAACATCGACTGAATTTTTAATTCAGCTATAGCAAATATTTACCTCCAACTTCCTGAAATCATAAATTTTGCTTTGTGAAATTTTTATCAAAATATACGGAGATCCCTTTAATATTGCACATCTAATTAAGGAACTCCATTTGGCATGTACATAATTTTTATTTTGAATCTTGAAAATATATAGATAACACTTTTGCAAATTACTTCTGCGAGGATTCGAACCTACGTATTCTGGATTACGCGTCCAGATGCTTTAGCCACTAAGCGAAGCGGTCGACATTCACACCGAGTTAAATATCGATGTCTAATATATTTTATTTTTTTGCACTTTTAGTAATGCTTGGCGTTATTTCACAGCAGTACATTTTAAAGTTTCACCATACTAGGGAGACCAACACTAAAAATCATAAATTAGTGTTTGAACTATCCATTTTATTCAAATATTTTAGCTTACATGTATAGCGGAGACTAGCTCTAAAAATAATAAATTAATTTTTAAATATCCATTTTAGTCATGTATTTTAGCTTACAACTAAGAATTTACAATCTCGTACTTTACCGTTTTCCATACGCATTTCAATACCAAAATGCAAAGCAAAAAAAACATGACACTAGCTGAAACCACGTTCGTATGTTTTAACTACTTGTTCAATCACATTTGCAATAAAACGGAAGCTTAATGAAACCGTAAGAAAGAAAAATTGTAGAGTGACTTGTTTTTTATGTCTAACCGAACATATCTACCGTATGAAATAAAAATTGTATATTCTGTTTTTTTATGTCTAACCGAACATATCTCTGAATTTCAGGAAGAATCTGATGCTTCAAGCCGTCGACAAAGAGGACGACACGCACCTGTTCACTTACCGCGACGTGAACCGGACCCACGTGTCGGTGGTGCTGGCTCAGAGCGTGGAGCATCTCGTGGACAGCGACTCCCCGCAGAACGTGGTCAAGTTCAGACTCGGCTGCGACTTCAACTCCGGAGACGACATCGTGAGTGAATTAAAGTAGAAATACATGCTGTCTTTATCGCGACTAGTGGTAACCTACCAAGACCCGTTAAGTTTGAGATATAGTCAAATACTCATTTTATACATATCAATGGGCATATTAATCGTCGTAGACTGATCGCATTCTGAACCTGACAAGTGATAAGCCTGTCGCCTTGAATCTAACACATAATAGTTATGTTTGCAAAAACGGAAGGTGTTATTTAACTAACACGCTATAGTGCGTAAAACTTTTCTTTGTCGAATAGCTTGTTAAAATAAATGAATATCGATAAGGTAAACCTGCGAGCATGTAGGTATCTGTATTTATGTATAAGGAAAAATACGTGTGAAAGGCAAAGTATTGTCATCAAGCCACTACTAGCGGCACCTAGTGGTGAAAAGTTAAGATAGAGAAGCTGCTGTTATGATTTGAACATTTACCAATAGATGAGGCCTATATAATATGTAACTGTGGTGGTATGTGGACTAAAAAAATGGTTCATGATTCCTTTTCATTTATTTTTATTTAAAATCTTTAGTAACCGCAATTAGAAATGATCTTTTAATATAAAAATATTCCGTATTTTACCGACATCTGTCCTTGAACCGCTACACTGAAATAAACTTATAAAAAGGTTGCAATATTCAGCCGGAGATGGCGCTGTACCCACATCTACTTCATGTATCAGACCACAATTTTTACTCAAGTACATCTTGCTTTATTCTGTTTTAATCTAAGTAAAAAAATAATAACCATTCATTATCTTTTCTTCTACTATATATATAGGAATATAGCTCCATCTAAAACACAAAATTGTTACTTGATAAATATGAGTTAATTGCCTGCGAGGCGTGCTTCAAATTCAACTAAATGATTATAAAACAAAAACACCTTAATTTTAATTAGAACAAATATCTCCATAGAAATATTTTAAATCTGAAACACTTTTATTTTCCACTGTAACTACCCATAATAACATGAAACATAATAAAATAATTTCTTTACAATTTGGTGCTATCTCGGACAGTTCTTATTATGATTTTCATACTTTTTTAAACAAACTAAGTTCGATTTTTATTATTTACGATGTTCACAGTTTCTTCATATAGGACCTAATAAATTGGTTGTTTTCATTATATATTTTTTTTTCAAAATAATATTTGTAACTTTAAAGTTATTAGAAGTGGTGGATGGCACAGGAAAAAAATACGGAAACAAACATGCAGAACTTACCGAACGCAAGAAAGGGAAATTATTCAGGCTTGTACGCTACTAGATTAAACACCTTTAATGGCGGTTTGAAGCATCTAGCCATTGTATCTTTTTTCGGGTTTGCCTATCGCTCGTAACGCATCGGGTAAGATGATAGTTAATAAATAACAAAAATATAAAATAACAGTAAATTCGTTACTGTCTGTACCCTCTCATCACTCCGGTTTCATGTCAAATTCTTTCACTGTCACTTCAATCTTACTTTGGAACAGGTTGCCTGTTGACCTGCGACAATCGCCAACAAAAAATATTTTTAAAAGAAAACTGTTTGAGCATATCCTTGCTGAGTCTTAGCTACTTAATAGTACTTACTATGTATGAACATCTGATATGCATTTTTGTGTATATGTATGTATGTATATTTATATATAGGTTTGTATGTATGTATATATATTTATATCTATGTTTACGTTGGCAGTTTTTAGATTTATTACCTAATTATTACATATTATTTATTTAATTATGTATCGTATATAACTACTTTACTGCCCTTGACATTTTGTTTCTGTTCTACCTTGGGTTAGCTGGTAAAGAATGCAGTATAGCATTAAGCTCGACTTTGTACAATTTTCTGTGCAATAAAGATTAAATAAATAAATAAATAAATAGTATTTTCAATCTTATTTCTTACTTAGGAATCGAACTCACCTCTTCGACGGGTAGTGAATAGCAATACACCAGCCGGGTCATCGCAGCAGCAACTTTTCCTTAAAAAAAAACATTTGTTTCTAAATTAGCGCTAGACAAATAAACCGCAGGAAAAAGTAAAGGGCGATGGTTTCAGAATAAGTTCTTAAAATAACGCCGAATCTTCCAACATTGAAGCTAATATTTCACATAATAAAACTCGTATTAACTGTATTATTTAACTTAAGAAAACTAATAAGTACATCACTGTGTCAAACAGCCCGTCGGGAGACTCGTTTCGGGAGCTAAAAAGGAAAATGAAAGGCGATAAACTCCTTTAAGAAGTTTTACCATAACTCCAAGATTTGAAGGTTTCGTGGGCTTATACACGCTTACGACAGTTAGAGGCTGAGTCTAGTTTTACAGGAAACGACATACCGAAGGAAACCTCAGGCGTCCTCCAATAAACGTTACGATTTATTCCCGCACTTAACTCGCATCGTAAAATGTGAAAAGATTCAAACGGTGTCAACGAACTGGCCTTATCAAAGTCAAGTGTTAGAAAAATGTTCAAAGATTGGTTATATACTTAAGCGAACTTTAAAATTGAGTAAATTTTCAGTCGTGCAATTAGCTGGGAAGTGTTGGTAGGTGTATGACATTCAATATAACTACTTAAGTGTACTTTTATATTGAATAAATCTTGTGTCGTTCAATTAGCTTGGAAGTATTAGTAGGTTTATGACATTACATTTTAAAAATGGCTATGCCGCAATACCGGTTGTAGGTTCGATTTACGTGCGGAGCAAATAATCGTATTGATGAAGTTCCGGCAGCTTATTGTAGTGTTGTCATATTGGCGGATGGGATTAGCAGCCGAGGCTTGGTAATCCATGGCCTTGGCTTAACTAAGATGCTCGAGAGGGCCGCTGCAAGTGGAATCATTGACCACACTCTGGATACGTGCTGGGTAGGTGCGGGTGATAGGACGATGTCGCCAGAGAGCCACTCTCCCTTTCTTCTGCAATCGAAGTGTTATTGGTATAGAAGTGGTGTTGGGTATTTCGTTGCCGCTCCCCCATCTGCGGGGCTTTACCGTTGATGGAGTAGTGGTGGGGTCGCGGGGGGCGATGAGTATTTGTATTGCGATATGCCGTTCCCTAACCTGCGCGGCCGAAACGCCGCCTACCAGGCGGCGGAACCACAAACCATAGATCCACTAACAAAGTTTTGAGGTGTTTTAGGCACCATATTAAAATAAAAGAAATGTTCTTGCTTAACTATTGGGGTACCTAAAACTACGTTCAGCTAAACACACGTGCTTTGCTGAATACGGTTAGGTTCTGTAATAGTTCCACGCATTAAGAACTGAAAGAGCATTCAAAGCATATGCGTTTATAAACAATTATATTGAAATAAGAGCATTTTTTCTGAAAAATAAAAAACCCGATTATTATTAATCATTTTAACTTTACTATCTTGTGGTATAACGCAATTCACTATTATGAAAATCGATTTTTACTTCAGGGCAGTTGTACCGTGCTCCTATCATCGAAAAGGTGCTGATATTTTTTACTTTATTTTTTTATCTGCACTCCGTAAAAACGGGGCTGTTTGTATACACTTCCATTGTTTTCTCGGTCCACTGAAAATACTTGTTCGGAGAGTATTGTTACTGTGTAATCAACACCGAAAACGTTTACCGAGCCGAGGCAAAACTCTAAACTTAGTGTTCTTATATCAGTGATATTTTGGTTTTCTTTAAAGGCCGAGGTACTAAAGATAAAAATTTTATCGTCTCTTTACTTTTTAAGGGTGACTTATTACTAAGATTCCTCTGTCTGTCTGTTTGTCTGTTTGTCACCAGGCTGTATGCAGCATACAGCTGTCACCAGGCTGTATGCTGTAATGAACCGTGATATTTAGACAGTTGAAATTTTCACAGATGATGTAGGTATTTCTTGTGCCGATGTAACAACAAACACTAAAAATCAGAATAAAAAAATATTTAAATGGGGCTACCATGCAACAGACATTTTTTTTTTCCGTTTTCATAGATAATGGTAGGGAACCCTTGGTGCGCGCTTCCGACTCACACTTGGTCGGAGACCCTTTCCCAGCCGTGGGGCAAAGATTGGCTATTTCTTTAATTTTTATAAATTATAAAATCGAAGACATATAATGCAAGAATGTATAAATAAAAAAATATGTTAGAAAACTTAAAATACAGTTCAGTACAGTGAAGTACAGTAAATAGGATGAGATATCATATTAATAAAATTTAAGTAATTTTTTACTGTTATAAATTATTTTCTACTTGCTATTTTTGGACTTCGCTTAGCATAATTCTCTATAAATTACCGATAAGCACCAGACTGATATTGAAAAGTTCTATCGAGAATAAACCAGTTTTAGACTCTAGATGGGCCTTCGAGACCAACAATAAGAGTAGGGTGTATTTAATATTGAAAGAAATGCTCATCGGGCCGCGTTATAAATTTAATAAGGCCGTGTAAAGGCGACGATCGCATACGGCCGTCCTTCACCCATTTCCCTTTGTTGAATTATTCGCGCGCCTTTGAGTGCCTTCCGTTCCGTCGGCCCGCGGTGCGCGCGGCGAAGCGGAAGTTATTCGCGGTTTAAACGCTCTACGAGGATCGTTTACATCCGCTGTCGCGTAGCGTTCGGATGCACAAATGCAAACTGAAGGCAGCGATGAATTCCTTAGAACAACCGGCCAAGTGCGAGTCGAACTCGCACGAAGGGTTCCGTGCCATTATCTATAAAAACGGCAAAAAAAATCATGCCTGTTGCATGGGAGCCCCACTTAAATATATATTTATTTTTTAGTATTTGTTTTGTTATAGAGGCAACAGAAATACATCAGTGAATGAAAATTAAAACACGTGAAAAGTGACAGACGGACAGACAGATAGGAAGACAGACAGACAGCGGAGTCTTAATAATAGGGTCTCGTTTAACCCTTTGGGTACGGAACCCTGTAAAACACAGAATCTTTCCATCGCCTCTATTTATCACTATATAGTTATATGCTACCCATAAGATTTTTATTTCTAAACTACTTCACGAATGTACCAAGCAGATGGATTCTTTGAAATCTAAAGTTACGTTAAGTTAATCTAAAATTTAAGTTACAAATACTTCAACCTTTTTGTTTAGCTATGAATAAATGAATGATATATAGCTTACAACTATGTTATCAAAAACAAAAAGATGGAAAGAGAGAGTAAAATGTAGTGTTACTCGTTCCTGAACCACTCAAATTTGGCTTTTTGTTTGCAGATATCAGCATTTCTCTCAGTGACGGTCTACATTGAGGATGTCAACGACAACGCTCCAAAGTTCCTAGACCTCCCTTACCGTGTTACCGTAGACGAACTCACGCCAACGGGTACCTATACATATCTATGTGTTTGCCTTTCTTCATTCTTTCGTCTTCCTACGTTTTACTTACTCTTAAAAGCATCTCTCTACTTAAAAATATTATTACGTGATGACGGGAGCTGTTAATGTACCGAAAATTATTTATGCAAAAATAAAGAAACTTACTACCCGTGACACATCGATGGTAATAATTTTGAAAATGCGTCAATCTATCAAAAAAATTGTAAAAAATTTGATCCTTTTGCTTAAGTCTATTTATTTAATATATCATAAAATAGCTCGCTAGTGAGGCCACAGTCTTCACTGTTGCATAAATGGGCAGGAAGTGTAACACAGTGAGGCAACTGGGTCCCACTATAATAAAAGGTGGCGACGCACCTGGAATCCCACGGGTGTGGCAAATGTCCATTGGTGGCGGTTACCACTTAACGTCTGGGGAACCGCCAGCCCGCTAGCCACTTCTCACACAATTAAAAGGATATACCTTAAGTTATATTAAGAGCAATTATTAATTCTTCATCGAATTTAACCATACCAATTATTTTCAATAATATTATCTATCATTCACTTTATATTGTATACTTTCATGACTATCCATTTGAGTAGTCCGAATAATCTTATAATTAAAAATACCGATTTCCGTCGTCTCGAGTGAAGGAGCTTTCAGATATCCAAAGCGTCTTCGTAACAAACCCCTTAACCAACCGCAGTCACTAACTATAATCTGTCTAAAGTAAACTTCCTCCGAAGTTTACCCGAACTGATTGAATCTTATGTTGGTAACTTTTACTTACCCCGATGGGTAAAATGAATAATCTTAACTAAATCGCTTACACTAACTTAAATTATGCTGTCATCAAATAAGATTTTTAGTGATTTCTATTCATTTGTTATCCTTCTAACAATGAATGTTCATACCAGTTTTTTTTAAAATAAATGTGATTATTTTTCTTATGTTTTTTTCAAATAAATTTCCATAATACTTAAGGAGTAAAAAACCATTAAATGTTTACAAGAAATAAAAGAAAAACGTAGGAGGAGCATTTAATTAAAATGCTTAATGCGTGACCTCATACTGATAACTTTTTTGCACGGGACCTTTGATAACCCTATGTCTTCCTCAGGTCTGACGATCTTCAGGGGCATCCGAGCTTTTGATCGCGACAAGCCGAACACACCCAACTCCGATGTTCAGTATAGCATCACAAGTGGCGATACTGAGGGGCGGTTTTCTCTGGAGAGCTCACACAAGCCGGGTCTTGTGTTAGCGAAGCCTCTGGACTACGACGCTGGTGACCGAGAGTTCTTAATCACCGTCACAGCATCTGTGCGTACTAATTAATTTCATCGCGAACGTTTATATCAGTATCTGTAGTTCTTCTCTGTTAACTGTGTTTTACCTATTTTTTCATATTTAAATATTGTTTCATTTTGTTTTCCAGGACCGTGGTTCCCCGCCACGCAGTTCTGTTGCGACAGTGCATATCATCGTTGCAGATAACGACGACCTCCCGCCTAAGTTCACTCTCGACGTCTACCGGACGAAGATACCGGAGTTCCATCCAATTCTTGTGAGTACCGCATTCCTTTTACCATGAACGCACTGTTCATTTATCGTCTTACCTCATTGGATTATTAGCTACATTTACATTTTACTTGTGTATCGTTATTTTGGGAAAGAAAGACGCAGGTAAACTACCCTGATCTTTTTTTACCTTGCAAAAAACCGACGATGATACTACATAGTTCAGTTGTATGCAATATCAATAATAAATACATAGAGATCAACTGAACATAAAATAGTTGCCCGTGAACGACCCATGCGCCTTTTCTAAATTCAACGTACGTTTTATTCATTTTAAGTATTGGATGAATACATCAGCCATATTACTTTATAATTTATTCTATTCCTTCGTGAGTTATAAAAGGTTTCTTTTCATTCGGTTTATAAATGCTGTTTTAAAGCATCGCAGCTATTATTATAATTTTTACGGACCTTCTTCTTTGAAATTCAAATATCTTTGTTCAAAATAAGAGCATTACACTTACTTATTGATTGTCAAAATACTACAACTTCATTTTGTTCAATCTATATCAATATAGACTGAACAATCTTTGCTGTCTTTTCCATTTATCATCTTTTATATGTTGTTGCTTGTGTTCTCGCGCTTACTTTTTAAATCAGATTTATAAATATAATTTACACGTGTGCTGACAGGAAGAGAGCATCCACAAGCCGTTGGTGTTCGAGCAAGCTGTACGAGCGTTTGACCAAGACGCAGGAGTTGGTGCACCGCTGCGCTACCAGCTAATACAGACGCCCCAAGTAGACCGTACTTTCTCGCTCGGAGCCCTTAACGCTACACTCTTCCTTGACAGGGAGATCGACCTAGAAGCAGAGTCACTACCCGGTAAGTGACTAAATGCGTAATACGTAGGGAAAAACGATCTCTGCCTTCCTCTCTTAGGGCCATTCGCAATACCAAAGAGATCGCAAGTGTGCCACTAGATTTCTAAAGTGTACACACATCAATATCGCAAAAACGGAATGAATCGCAAAAGTGTAAAACTGCTTTTTTACTGTCAGTAAGACATTGGTTTTAAAATGATACGTTATCACATTACGGATGAAACGTGAATTAGAGTGTGGAAGGTTAACTGTGGTAGGGCCATGCCATGGCAGGTCCGTCCGGGGAAGGACCACCACCTTACAGAAGACTGGCGTGAAGTAGGACTTTTACACTTCTACGTTTCGTCTGGTGAGTTGGGCAACCGTGGCCCACTTTATAAGGCTACACATGTGTTACCCTACGGGTGTAAATTTCAATGGGCGGCGGGTACCATTTAACATCAGTTGAACCACCAGCTCGTTTGTCACCTTCTCTCATAGAAAAAATGATGTCCCAAAAAAGTAGCGTGTAAATTGGAGATTGATTTTTTTTCTCATGAAAGAAGATAAAAATGTTCATCGGTCTATATTCTAAAGCCGTTGTTGATTGCATTGGATTACGAAATAAAAAAGGTAGTCATTAACATATAATAAACTTGTCTGTGACTTCAATTGCACTTGCTAGACTGCTTGAATTATTTAATCAACCGAAAGCAGTAGTTAACATCAGTTAATCCTATGCAGGTAACATTTTTGTGCTACAAATTCAAGCTTCACAAGTCGATAATCCCCTCAAGACTGCACAAGCTCGTATCGAGGTAGAAATTATGGACCTTAACGACAACCTGCCAGAGTTTGAAGTCGATTTCTACAATATAAGCATCGTTGAGAATTTGCCTAATGGTAAGCTTTTACTAAATATTTAAGGCGGAATTTTATTATCTTCCTTATACATATGGGATCTGGTTACAATATTTTATCTGGGATGAAATATTATAACTAAATTTAAAGTCAATCGAGGGTTCGATTCCCACAATAGACAACTATTTGTATGACTCACAGATAACTGATTTAGATCTGGGTGTTTGTTCTAAAAAAATATGTGTATAAATCGTCCTTACAACATAGGATGTTATCCTGTAATAAGGGCAATTTTTTATATAAAAACAAATAACGTAAGTAACCTTATAACAGCCACTGCTGCTCGGAAAAGGAATGCTTAGTAATCTTCAGGAGCAATTAATAATGTTGGGCCATTTCGTATCTGACCTTAATTAACATTTTCAATATTTTTTTTTTAAATAACTCAATATTCAGGTTTCCTTATGAAATTACAGCAAAACAATGAAAATGATGCTCACGACAAAACATTTTGGACACCTCAAACGTCTGTAAAAGCATAAATAGAATAGTGGACGCAACTTATGTTAACATTATTTTGGCAGTATTTTTTTAGGATAGTTTTTGTTGTTATAATGAATCTATACTCTATCCGAGTAAGTACCACGACCTTACAGAAGACCGCCGTGACGTGGAAGCGTTATATTTCTGCGTTTCGTCTGGTGAGTGTCGTAGCCGGGGCCCACTTTATCAAAAGGTGGCAGAGCATCTGCAACCCTGCGGGTGTTGCAAATGTCCATGGGCGACCTTGGTTATCACTTGACATCAGGTGAACCACACGCGGAACTTCTCTATTAAAGTATGGAAGAATAAGAACAAGTGGTTCCCATCAGGTTTTAGCGTGCTCCAAGTCATGGCGACGGATAAGGACCAAGGCGAAAACGGGGAGTTCACTTACCAGCTCAGCGATGCTGAAGGGGCATTCTCCATAGATCCAAGAAGCGGCTGGTTAACCGTAAGAAATCAGGTAGGTCAATAGCACTTAGTTCCAACTCAAGTTGAAATTTTAAAATGATAAGGTTGTTGGCACCATTCATAGACATATATTAATCAATTTTTTTTTAAAGTTTTTATAGTGCTAATCTCTGCACTTAAGATTGAACATTAAAACATGTAGAAAAAGTACGGCAGCCGTTTAGCTCAGTGGCTAGAGCGTCAGGCCGCGAATGCCGAAGACGTGGGTTCGATTCCCACAGCGGCGACAATCTTTTCGTACTTTTTCTACATGTTTTAATGTTCAATCTTAAGTGCAGAGATTAGCACTATAAAAACTTTAAAATTTATAAAAGCAATGGCGACATCTCTCGTTCGAATTATCGTTGTAAAACGATATTCGAAATTGTTTGTATGCTGGAAAGGATATAACAATAGATGCGCCAAGCATTGCTTCAAATACTAAATAACAATGTAGAAAGAAGGCGTTAAGATTTTCGTCGCTGTGGCTATCAGCCGTTTAGCTCAGTGGCTAGAGCGTCAGGCCGCGAATGCCGAAGACGTGGGTTCGATTCCCACAGCGGCGACAATCTTTTCGTACTTTTTCTACATGTTTTAATATATTAATCATATAATTATTCTGTACGTTTGTGTGTTTCACTGAACTTGTTACACTGCTTGAATTATTTAATGAACCGAAATTTTTTGTATGCGTTCAAGTTGATTCGGGAATGGTTTAGATTCACATTTTTTTTAAGTTATTGGATTTAAGTCGTGTCTACAGGACAACGTCTGTTAAGTCCACTAGTGTAAATATAAATATAAAATTAAATGTAAATGTTAACATAACTATAAATGTTCCCGACATTTCGAAGACTTTTGAAATTAAGTCGTCGTTTCTAGAACTGAGCTAGAATTTTTAAAAGGAATATCGAAGATCCACCATTGATTCTCATTATTAAGACCTCTAGTGATGGACTGGCTAGAAACCAAGATTCTTTAATGATTACATAATAAATACTATAATATATTGTTTCATACGAAACTAAACATAGTGAGAGAAAAACACTTTGAAGGTCCTTTCCGTCCATTTATCCCGTACAGTAACTTTTTTATTATCATTTGTACAACCGTAATTGCCTAACTTAGGCCTACTTTAGCCCGAGCCCGACTAAATAGTCCGTTAAATAATACAACTTCTACTTAGCCCTACTTTGCTGAGAAACGGATTTTACTAATCCTTGACCTATTCGCTACGACAATAGTATCTTCTTTGCTCATAGTTTATGTGTCGTTACTGTTCTGAGCATCTCGCTTGATGTTCATAAACAAACGTTAAATATTACACAATCTATAATACTTCACACATAGTGAAATCATTGATATTGTACCGTTTTTTTTTTCCGTCTGGCTGTTACAGAAAATACAGAGATGTTTTCTTGTAATTTCCAAACGCTGCTTTCATGTTGAATTACTTAATATACGTATATTTTTACACAACATTTTAATTGAAAATCCATATACTTTTCGTGTTTTGACATATCAAATAAGTGTTTTAAATAAACATAACTCTCAGGTGTATCGATTTCTATTACGGATAATATTGTGTTTTTGTCTGGAAATTAAAAAATGATATCAGACAAAATAATCATCCAAACTTTATTACACCTGTTTTAAATAAGAATTAAGATACTGTGACAGTATCGAGCATCACCATCGTCATCGTCATCAGCCGCATAACGTCCACTGTTTAACATAGACCCCTCCCTTAGAACGCCACAACGAACTATAGTCTGCCATTTGCATCCATAGTATAGACCATATTTCACATTACTTCCACTCCTCATCTTCTAGACCGTATTGGACAGAGAGCGGCACTCATCACTCCGGATGAAGGTCTACGCGAAGGAGAAAAACCCGAGCGTGGTGGGAGCGTTCCTGGACAAGCAACGCATTTCGAAGTGGCGACGGGACCCGACTCCGGGGCGGCCTCCGGGCGGCACCACTTACGTGTTCCCGGACAAGGCCAACTACGACACTAGGAGCGCGAGCGTCGAGTACTTTGAGGACCAGCGTCAGCTGATGTCTTTCGTGACGGTAGAAGTGACGCTGTTGGACGCGAACGACAACAACCCGGCCTTCGTGCCGAGCAACCTTTACGAGTTCGGTGTGAGGTCGACTTCGCCGGTGGGCACTTATGTGGGGGAGGTTAGGGCCGTCGACCCCGATTTGGGGGGGAACGGCATGGTCTTATACGGCGTGCAGCGCACCAGCAACCTCACCGTGACGTCACCGTTCAAAGTGGACCCTCGGTCGGGGGCGCTGTTCGTGGCCGAGACCCCCATAGCTGAGGGTAGGCACGTCCTCTTTGTGGAAGCGGCCGACCAGCCCTCGAATCCCAGCGAGCGCCGTTACTCCCTGGCGGTGGTGACGGTGGACGTGACGAGGCGCAGCACTGGTATTCATAACGCAGTATTTAATTCTAACATTCGCTTAACGTATTTATCTAAAACCCAAAAATCCATTGCGGACCCATTAATAGTTTAATTTTTAATTTTATTGCTAATCAGAAATATGAAACATGAAATGTGTTTTAAAATATTCATTGGCTAAATGTGAGTTGGAAAAATGACATTTGAGAAAGTGTTTGATATACCTACGGGAAGCACATTAGATGATACTAAGCATTGATAAGAAGGCAATATAAACAAAGTAGATACGATGTCGAGATTGACACAGTGATCTTCGCTTAGTGACTAGAGCTTCTGGACGCGTATACCGCTAGGCGCAGGTTCAAATCCTGCCAGTGGCAAACCATTTCGCTACAATTTTATCTACAAGTATGTACACGCTGTGTCTGCGATTACTTGCAGCCTTTGCAGTATTCTCTGTTCAAAACTAAACAACTCACTTCACTCCATACTAAGATTTTTTGTTATTGTTTCTTTTATTTTGCAACTACAAAAATAATTCATACTGGTGAAATTGTATTACCAGTACATCTACTTATTTTTGCGGGTTCCTTGCGATAGTTACGGCTGATTGAAAAAGTTCCACCTGTTGTTTATGATAGAACACAAGGATTGATAGAGTGTTTGTTTTCTAGATGATATTAATAGAAATTTGACTTCAATGCTGCATACGAAACTCATCACAAAATATACCAACCACCAAGCCAAATACATGTGGGTTAAATAGATAAATTTAATAGTTAAGACACGTTATGTTTAGCTTAGTGGCTAAAGCGTCAGGGCGCGATACCCGAAGACGTGGGTTCGATTCCCACAGCGGCGAAATACTTTTAGTATTTTTTCTACAGATTTTAAAACTATGACACGGTTGTGATCATCGATTAATAAATAACAAATGTTAAATATGAGACATACGTTTCAGGTAAACCGGATTTTATTGGAGCACCTTACGAATTCTGGGTCGGCTCAAACGTTGGAATCGGAACGAGCGTAGGTCAGATACGTATCAACGAAGCCATGGAAAAATCTGATGTCTCTTATGATCTTCTTCACGGTTATGAAGAGGGAGGTAAGCAATATTAAGAAGTATACTTTTTTTAAGAAACTACACTTTTTATTAGATCGTGTGTTAAAGCAAAACACGCCTTACATATAATGTTGCCGAAACTCCAAGCTGGTTCTGTCAACTGTCAACATGATTTATATGTTGGTGCAACATATAAATCATGTTCTAAGTGGTTTTGGAGGGGCTTTTTTACGACCGGTCGCCAGCGTAACTGAACAAATGCCAAGATCCAATTATCTGTCTTACGATTACTTGTCCCGAACCCACGACTTTGACGCCGAAGCCGATAGCTCAGCAACGATGCCATCGACCCATCTGTATTTTAATCTACCATCACTATTTTTCTTTCCTTCAGTCCCTTTCGCCGTCGAGGAGCGTTCGGGGGTGATCACCGTGATCCACGAACTGTCCAAGTTCGACCGGCCCGTGTACGAGTTCGAAGCCGTGGCGGTGCAGGAGGGCATCAACCTGAGCATCGCCACCAACGCCACCGTGCACGTGGTAGACGCAAATGACGAGAGAGGGGTGCTGCTAAAGTAATTGTGTTGTTTGACTTACACCGTATCGCCTACTAAATTATCAACGCCATATCAAAGTCGTGTAAAGATACAAAACATCCCATATCTTATCGCGCTATTTCGATTTCTTCCAGTAGCATTTAAGATTTGCGTATACATCAAAACAACCACTTATTAATAAATATATATCGTATAAATATTTGAAGATAATTATGTGAAGACATAAATACAACCTAAGTTGTAATGCATAAATGCATAAGAAAATAAAGAAAAATGTATTTTGTCAACTGTTTGTTACGGTAAAAATTTAGATTCAATCGTTAATTAAATTTTCCTGATTTCAGGGGCACTCAATCTCCAATTGAATTTCACGTTAAAGAAAATATACCCGGAGCTATCATTGGGCAAATTTTCAACGTCAACATTAGTTCATCAATGAATAACTCCGGAAATATAAGGTTCATAATTGCAAATCAACAAGACGTCACCGACGATATTGCGATTGGTAAGATTTTATATTAATTTTATAACATTTTAATTGGAACATTTATCGTTCTCCTCTTTCCCACGGAAGAATACTACGAAACAGAAGTTTTAATTTGTGCTGCGATTTATTTATTGCTTTTGATAATAACATATTAATTTAGTAACATAGCAGTTTGCCTGTTGCGAGGTAGTAAACTAACAGTAAATCGTATACTAATCGGATCATTAAAAGCTTATTTCATTCCATAATTAGACACAAAATATGTTTAATTTTTTATTAAAAATTCGCCATTTTCAATTTTTCTTAGGTCACGACGGAACAATTTACGCTCAAAAAGCATTAGATCGAGAAAAGCGTGATTCGTATAGAATGACAGTTATAGCAGAGTTTAACAAAGGTATGATATCAGGTGCAGGAATATACCAAGTAACCATTTTCGTGGATGATGAGAACGACAACCCACCTATATTTGATGTCTCTGCTTACGAAGGTGCTATCACTGAAAATGCGAAAAAAGGAACGGAAGTAAAAATGACCAATAAAATTCGTGCAAAAGATGCCGATGTTGGACTTAATGCTGTTTTCTCGTACACACTATTTGGGGACGGACACGATATTTTTAGCGTCAATGAAGCTAGCGGTGTAGTAACGTATGTTGGTAATAAATTGGATCGGGAAGAAAAGAGTTCTTATTTACTGAAAGTGGTAGCAAGAGATAAAGGTAGCCTTAAATCAGAAGCAAAATTAACAATAACGGTTCTCGATGAAAATGATAACACACCTAAGTATAATCAAATAATTGTACCTTTGGGTGAAAGTATTGATTTGTTAGAAACAGATGACAAAATTCCTGTAAAAATCTTTAGGGAAAAGAAGAATGACGTGAATGGTGGTGTTACGAAATTGGAAATGAAACCAAAGAACAAGTTTTCTGCAGCCACTGACGCCAGAGGTCCCTTGTTCTTAGTTCCGGAGAACACGGCAATTGGTTCTACCATACTTAAATTAAGTGCAATAGATATGGATAGCAGTATGAATGGCCAAATTCGTTATGAATTTACATCGGAAGTGTTTATGCCACCCATTGCAATGTCTGGTAATGCATTGCAGGTTAAAAGATATTTTGTGATTAACGAGAGACACGGTCATATAGTAGTTGCTAGAACATTGCCACCAGAATCTGAATTCAGATTAAATGTGTCTGCAATCGATGGTGGAGAATTAAGTGATCACATCACAATTAGAGTATTTGTGAAGGATATCAATGACCACTTCCCAATGTTTAAAAAAACATTGTATACCTTCAACGTAGATGAAGCTCAATATAGTAGAAGAGTTTTGGGTAAAGTCGACGCAACAGACGCAGATTTTGGGCAAAATGCTAATGTTACATACTTTTTGCAACCGGATAGTAAAGACTTGCCGTTTGAAATCTCACCATTAAGTGGAGTTTTGAGCATTAATGGTGAGCTCAATAGAGAGAGAGAAGATAAATACATTCTTACAGTAGTTGCTAGAGATAATGGTTATGAAAAGAAATTAACCTCTTCAGTGAGCGTTGAAATAGAAGTCTTAGACGTTAATGATAATGCACCAACATTTTACGGTTATGATGAATTGTTGGAATGGAAACATCCAGAGGCAGATAACATTTCCAACCATAACTTTGAATCAGGTGATGATGATTCCCGTATACAGGGCAATTTTAGATGAAAATGCTCCCATCGGAAGTATTGTCACTCGTTTGCATGCTAATGATTCGGATTTTGTAGGGAACGGCAATGGATTAATCCTTTTCAGTTTACCCCAAAGAAAAAATCAAATGAATATCTTTGCAATTGACTCAAAAGACGGAGTTATCACAACTACAGGAAGATTAGACTATGAAACCCAAGCGTTGCATAATGTTACTGTAGTCGCTTCAGACTTAGGCTCGCCAAGTTTGAGTTCCACGGCAATAGTTGTGTTGACAGTAAAAGACGTACCCAACGAGATAGAAGTGTCAGACAAGCCAGTTTTTATATCACGTTATTACGAATTGGAAATTGAGGAAAACGTCCACACACCCGTCGAACTGGTCACGCTTAATTTGACCGAGTACTATGAAAATTTCAAAATGCGATATTTTATACTGAACGAGAACGATACAGACATAAAGAGGACGTTTGTGATTGATCCGCGCAACGGGACTTTGTATCTGGTCCGAAGTCCGGACAGAGAAGTAAAGGATGTTTACGAAGTCCTAGTTCGAGCGGAGCGGCAAAAAATTAGTCGAGAGTTGCCCCATATGATATACCCAGTCTCTGATGACGTGTTGGAGGGAATGACGAAGTTCGACGTAAAAATAATCGTGCGAATAAAGGACGTTAATGACAACGCTCCGAAGTTTACAAACGGTGGAAGGCCGATGGTCACAGCTATTCCAACTACCGCTTCTTTTGGATATGAAGTCATTCAGCTCCAGGTATGCACACTTTTATTCTACTGCTTTTTATCTATCCCAAAATTAATCGATATTTGCGTTTCTCCGACATTTGTAGCGGATCTCGCCTTTGAAATGAAACCGGCATTTAAAACATTTCATGATTAAACAAAAAATAAAATTTTATGTTCGACGCACGTACACGCGATTCAAAGATGCACCAATATCCACGAGGCTCGTCTTCAATCAAATATACATTTAATATTTATGTTCATGCTGTGTTATACTTTCCTAAGTGTATTTGAAATGAAGTAAAGTAAAAAAAGTAAAGTAACAGCCTATACATGTCCCACTGCTGGGCAAAGGCCTCCTCTATACAGAGGGTATCAGGGCATAGTCCACCACGCGGCCCCACTACGGATTGGCGGACTTCACATATCTTCGAAATATATATATTCTTTTTGTTATTATTTCGAAAATATGCAGGTTTCCTCACGATGTTTTCCTTCACCGCGGAGCACGTGATAAGTCAGCACTTAAAGTTAAAAACTTCATTGGTCCGGCACCGGGGATCGAACTCAGGTTGCTCGAATATATTGAATTAAAGGCGAGCGCCCGGACACTGAGCTATCACGGCTCTTCACTGAAATGAAGTAAAACGTAATATTCCCAATGTTGACTCCTTTTTCGACATAAGGTCTATAAATTGAATTGCTCATTAACCATGATAGGAATCACCGTTACCTGGAAACGTACCCTAAGAAATGTTAATAGATAATGTAAGTAACAACTTAATACCATCTTCCAGGCCACGGACGCGGATGTAGGCCTGAACGCGGAGATCCGCTACCAGGTGATGAACTCCGCGGGCGGACGCTTTTCTGTAGAAGCGGGCAGTGGGCGGGTGCGGGCCGCGGCAAGCTTCGCGCGCGACGCCGGCCGCGTGTTTGGCTTCGACGTGAAGGCGACAGACAGACGGGGCGCCGACGACGGCCGCTCCGCTATCGCCAACGTTTTCGTCAGTATTCATATACTTCCTCCACGCTCCTTACGTGTTGAGTTACATATACCGTAAACTACCAATATCCATTCCACCTCGAAAATTAATAATAGCATAAACAGCTTCAGAGAAAGCAACTTATTCATATTGTTTACATTAATTATATTGGTTCTAGGATAATTTTGAAGACAAGTGTACGGAAAGTTTTTTGAACATGATTTTTTTAAAACAAAGCAACCAAAACGTTGCTTTGTTTTAAAAAAATCATGTTTCTAACATATTGTCACCACTCGAATTCGTACAATAATGCAAATGCTGATCTTTATTCTGTGTAATTGTTATTTGTTTACTTTTTTTTTTGAATAACATATATTATATTTCACTTTTTATTGATTGTGACCTTATTGAATCATCGGTTAACGTTATATGTAGTCTTTCACAAATGTTCTTTTACTCCAAACAACAAAGGAGCGCATGGTTCATACAATAAAAGTGGCTACTACGCCAGTGACAACTGAGATGTTGCCAGCTATAAACATAAAATAATTACTTTCAGCTTTTTTTTTATGTGAGAAAGTGGCAAACGAGCGGATTCACCTGATGTTAAGTGATAACCGCTTGACTGTACCTGCCTCCTGCGCCAGAGGGTGTGGGTTCGATCCCCACTTCTGAAAAATAGTGTGGAAAATACTGTGATGAACATAGTGTTTTTCTAGTGTCGGGGTGTTTATATATGTATTATATGTATTTATTTACAAAAGAAAAGCATGTTTAAGTATGTTTATCATTTATCTTGTACCCATATTACAAGCGTTGCTTAGTTTAGGACTAGAGAACGTTGTGTAAAATGTGTCCTAAGATATTTATTTATATTTATTAACGGTCAGGTGTACGTGCTCGACGAAAGCAAGCAGCTGGTTCTCGTCGTCGGGGCGAAGCCGACTGAAGTGGAGAAAGGGATGGAGAACATCACGCGGCACCTCTCCAACATGACCGGCTACGACATACGAGTGCGCCGGCTAGAACAGAGTCCCAGGGCCTCTATGGACAGACATGCGTGAGTGTTTAAAGTGTAATTCATATTACGATCTTCGTATGATGTTCAAATAACGCCAATTGGTTCAATTACATTGAAATTCTATAGATTGTCTATCAGTATCAAAATGAGAAACTGTCAGAATTCTTCAGACTATCTCTTTCCGTATCATACGTTCTATATCAGCCACATTCAATTATATATGCCCTAAAATGTTCATCGAGTTTTAAACTTTTTATGTTTTTGCAATTTAATAAGTTGCTGAATTTTCATTTTATTCTTGTATAGTTTATTTCCAAACCCTGCCAAGTCTGCGAATGAAAAAAAGGTCTTTTTAAAAACGTACTTACATCTTTTCAGGACTGATTTGTACATCTATGGAGTCGATCCCTTGTCAAATACAATCATTGATATGGACGTATTGCAGAAGTAAGTTTTACTGTTAATATACTAGTTTCAATTTAATAGTACAATCATAATGGAAGAAGAAGTTTAAATTTACTTTATAATAATTTATTTTCATCACATGTTAATTTTCGTGACTATAGTAACTTTTGACTATGCTAGTGTGTGCACTACTTACATTATAGTCTATACTATTGACCCGCCCCGGAATCGCACAGGTGCAATGTAGATATTAAAATTCTCGTATTTTCTCTACTATAATATGCGTTTATTCTGTATAAACCTTCCGCTTGAATCATTTTATCTATTGCTGAAAACCGCATTAAAATCCGTTGCGTAGTTTAAAAGATTTAAGCGTACAAACATCACTTACTTTTGGAATCATTTAATATTTCCTATCCGTTCCGGTTCGGGTTTTTTTATGTGCCACCCTAAAATATCACTGTACACTTATGTTGAATCATTAGTATTATTATTTATTAGTCTAGCTAATAGTGCGAGGATAATGAAATGTTTTATCTTATAAATCTTTTCGTCCTATTTAGATCTATTATGAAAAGGGAGACAGCCGATCGGGTTACGGTGGGTGGGTTTCGCCTCCTGGGCGTGGGTAATGCGGGAGCCGAGTTGCTGCAAGCTCGAAGTGGGAGGTTGCTCAGTACCGTCGAGATCAGCGTCGTGGCTCTTGGCTGCCTAGTATTCGTCGGCGCTTGCACGGCCGCAATTTGTATACTTTGTCTCAGGAGGAACCGAAGGTATTTCTTACCTACTTCCTACTCACTTTTTGCTCTCCCTACTTTCATACATCTTGTTCCTACATATCATACAATACATCGCATACAGTAAGCCTGGCAGTATATGAATGAACGATATGATTAAAATGTACATCATTTACCACTGTCATTTTTGAAATTGCATTTGAAGTGGTACGGTCAGTTATTCAACCTCCTTTATCTCTCAGGCGAACGAGTTTAAATTTAAATTGGAACATACTACTAACATTGTAAAATCGAAAGAAGACAATTATATTAGATAATTTTGATAAAAGAAAATAAAACTCGGGAAGTCGTCAAGATCCGTGTGAGGTATTCCAGGTGTAGTCGAGGCTAAGTGCAAAAATCGCAATGAATTATTTGGAAATTCGAAAATATTTTCAGTATTTTGTCTGAAATAAATCGTTCATTTATTGATTGATATTGACAACTGCGCTCATATACATCTTGCAACACAGTGTTCGAAAGTTTCCCTTTTTTTCAGCACTCTACTCCCGTTTATTTCCGTTCCCGTTACCGTTTTTATTAACACAATGTTGGTTTACCATTTTATGATGGAATAAATTATTCACAATTATAAATCATTCCCAAAGATCATTTTACAACCTCTATTAGTACATAACTCAAGTTTGTCAAATAACAAAAGACTATAAATGCACGCATAATCAAATAGATATTCAATTGCATGCAATAAACGTTATATTCTCATTCATAAAATGAAACTTTACAAAGTGCTGTAAAATGTGCAATCCCTTCTCGATATGGGCTGTTAACAATCAAAACTAATTTGTCAGAATTTCCTTTAATGTCACGAGTAACTTTGTAGTCACAACGTTAAGTTTGTCTCATTGATCTAGTGGTAAGTTTTATTTCGTCGGGTAGATGGAAATTTAAAAATGTTTGAAGTGCTAAATGTGTGATAAAGTTTTCGAAATTGTTTTATAATTTCGATCATTACTTTTTAGTAATCATTATCAAATATGTTATGTCAATATTAATTAACAACATTCAATTACTAATTTCAATCATCAGACTATACATTACATGCAATGTTGCAATGTTAGAAAACTTATTCATAACAATCTATTTGTTTCCATCTCTTTTATGTAGAATTTTTGTGAATTCTAGAATACTAAATGAGGTAAGTAATATTTTATTTTACTATTGCTTTTCAGACACGAACATCATCACAAACGAAAGCATGCAACTCATTATTTCACATAAAACCGCCATTAGCACGTACTAAATAGGCAATGTTATTTATTTATTTATAAATTAGTTGATACATTGTAATTTTAAGCAATAAAGTTTCGTGACCAAGCAAACCGACTTTTTCTTTCAACTCTGAAAACGTAACGGGCCCTTCTGTATGCAGTTAGGCTTCTCGCCCGACGTTACTTCCGTTGACTGACTCCTATTCTATCTTTTGCCCTAACAGAAAACGCCACAAACCATATTCCCAACAACGCCTAAACGCTTTCTCCACTGAGCACTTAACAAAGTACGGAGGCCTCTTTCCGTCCGGGGCCAACCAGTGCCAAGAGCTTAACCAGTCTTATAGCGAGGCTGACTCTTACATCGACGTTATCAACCACAGTACCTTGAAGAAAACCTGTCCCCATGGTAACACTGTGGAAGAGTTCGGGAAGGCACATCAGAAATGCGTTAAGAGCCAGTTCGGCGAGAGCTCGGACGCATTCAATCAGAAGCACGAAAGAATGTGCATTAAATTCAACCAACGACCTTTGCAGAAGAGGTGAGATAAATGCTTAAGCATTTTGGGCGTTAGCAACTGAGTCACCGGGCTATATCCATTTTTTGCACCAAGTTTAAACTGGTGATGTAAGCACATCTGCTGATTTATATTGAATTAAGTCACCACAATCAAACTACGAGTACCAACCAGTGTTCATTTTATATAGCCCGTAGATTGCGTTGATAACAAAATTCCTTTGGTATAACTATTTGGTTACTTTATTAACCAAGTATTTTCTCTTTGCAAACCACACTTTTTCTTACTCTAACCAAGCAACTATACCGCGTCAGATAACAAGTCAACCCAAACTACCCCTTCTTCGGTTAACAAGTTTTCACTAACATTAGGGAAACATTCGAGTTATAATAACAAGTTTAATGGTATCGGTACATAACACAGTATTAATATAAAACAATCGCCTCCTAATCAATTAAAACACCGGCTTTCAGTTGAATATTTCTCTTTACGTCACTAAACACTAACGAGTAACTAGTACGATGAACATGCCAGCATTGCCGTTAAACACACCTACACGTCCCAAAATAGGAAAGGGCAGGACACTTCGATAACATCAGTGAATTCCAGTGGCCAGGACTCGGGAATCGCAGAAGCCGCCAGGTGCCCCTGCGGTTATTCCACTGCTCACACGTCAGAGGAGAGCAGCGGGTGAGTATCCATAGAAACCTGTGTAATTATTTCAACATGCAATTTGTGATTAGCTTCAGTTACTACCTCATTTGAATTGATTGAGTATAAAACTTATATAAATTAAAAAAAAAACTTTCAATAAACCTCCAAAATGTTATTCAAGACACATCTGCCCTTAAATCGGTTATAGTACAGTTGAATAAACATTAATTGTAAAAAAAAATACCGTGCTTGTGTACTTATGTAAAGACGTAGGAAGTTATACTTTTTAGCGTAACAAAAGAAAAATAACTAAAAATCCTATCTCATGTGCCAGTACTCTTTGTTTGTGAGAAAAAAAAAACGCGAAATGCAATTAATACAGGGTTGATTAGATTACTTGGGACATTTAAATGTCAAAAAGTTTTTAATGATTTCCATGGCAATACCATGAAGTTGGTGTCGCTTTTATGTGCCGCGCATGGTAAAAATTTTCTCATCATTTTTTCAAGTTAAAAAAAAAGACTTGACTGTGGAAAAATTACGGGGCCACATTTATCCCATGGATGGAACAGTTTGAAAGGGGAAGATTCTAAATTCTTAACGACTTCATATAGCAGACTTAGTGAAAAAGTTTTTATCTTTTCATGCAGGGGGTGATTATTACCAGAAACATGCTGTCTCAAATTTTAGCAATGCCTTCAACTAATTCATCTAATTTCAATGATGAGTAGCCAAAAATTGAATAAATAATTTACACTTTTCATGTCTGCTTTTTTAAAAATTAATTTTCCATTACGAATATCCCAAACTATGTAAATGTGACTTCAGATAGATTTTGAGTCATACATTCAACTATAGAAGCAAAGAGGCCTTATTATGACATTTCAGTTGCAGTTACGAGGATTCCCTGAAGTCCAATCACAATCAGGAGACGCATCCGAAGCCGTATCGAGCGGAAGCTGAAACGCGATTCCTCAGAAGGGCTTCCTTCGGCCACCAACCGTTGGATGCGCGCCGGTTCAACCACAGGCGGCAGTCCTTCTCGGAAAATCTCCAAAGGCACTTCCCGCCATTCGAAAGGATCGGATCGGGGGGTAGGATGACCAGGCAGGTGTCCACACCGAACGTTGCCAACATCTCTCAGTCGTACTTCATGGGTAAAAGTGCTCGAAAGAAAGAGATTGTTAAGGAGCCGATGGTGGACTACGATCAGAGTGAAGCGGAGGACTTGTTCGACACGAGACTTGACAGGAGATTGAGCGGGCACCATAAGAGAGGGAGTTTCATGGAGCTGAATGGTCAGACCGCGGTGTTCGTCGCCACACCCGCTGCAGCAGAGATAATGCGGCGGCAGGGCAGTGAGCGACTGATGTTCGCCAGACCCTTATAGTTTACATGGATTTAACATAAATGTAATTGGAAACAGGATATGATTAATTTGTAAGCGTGGAAAATAACATTGAATCGGATTAAACAGACTCTTGATTAGCTTTAAAGTAAAGAGTAAACGTGATGGATAAAAAAGTTGTGAAATTTACGATTAAATCAAGTTAAACAAACTTGTTTATCGCTATTTTGATTAAGTCTATGAACTGTATAAGGGTATTTAAATTGATACAAAGTACGTTGTGTTATGTTATAACTTCGTTTATTTACTAAATTTTAATAAAATAAAATGTAAATAAAACTAAAATCTTTGTGAGTAAATTACTTCGGGCTTTTAAGAATGATTATTGTCATGTAAGAAATTAACTTTTTTTGGATATTTTGTATTTATGTAGATAGTTTAATGTAATATATTGTATATGAAGAGTAATGAGAAACCTTATACATAAAAGCATTATAATTAATGTATTTCTGTATCGTTACCACATTTTTGCAGAAGTTCACTGTATTATAACTTGTAAATATTTACATAGCTGACATCTTGTAATTATTATACTGCCTTTGGAAAATGACATAAGTCCAAAGAGAGATGTTTTTTTGTCTAGTACTTATTATAAATAAGTGCCATTTGGAATAGGTCTTCACGCGTAAGAAGATCTTTGAATGTAAACTTTTACCACCTTTTTAGGGTAATTCTTGTAAACTTATTGTTATATAATTTATGCTTAGAGTGTTTAGTTGTATTATTGTAAATAAATCCACATCAAGAAAATATAATGGATTATACTTGTTTATTGATTTTTTGTTACACTGTGTACCCTCATCTAATACGTATCAATCCACATTGTTCTCCTCGCCATTAATCAATTTTAGAAGTAAATATTTCGGAGCACAGTTAATAATTTTTTGAATTAAATAAGCATTTATGAGAGGTAAGTCAAAAAGTACTCAGCCGAGTCAAGAAAATAAAATAAATTAGAATAAAAATATTTTTTTTGTGAGAAAGTGGCAAACTTGAACTAGTGCTGGCGCTTCACCTGATGTTAAATGATTACCCATTGACACGTTGCAGAGACATTGCCACCTTTTAATAAAGTGGGTCCCGGCTACCTTACTCATCAGAAGGAATGCAGAAGTATAACACCACTTCACGCCGGGCTTTCAGCGAGGTCGTGGTTCTTCGGACAGAACTCCCCATTCGTGCAGACTGTACGGCCGTACCACATTTCAAGTTTTCTGAAATGATATCCATCTACCTCCCTACAATTGTTCCACCTGCTTTTCTAGGATTCTACTGACGTTTTAAAACGATTGTGGGTCTTCCAAAAATTAATTTAACGCAGCTTCAGCCTCTTGAAAACTTTTGAATAATATGGTGTTTTAGGCTTACAAATGAAGGTCGTGTGGAATCTGGAGAATACTCCGTTTGGGGCAGAAAAGACATAAAAAATAATAAGGAATGTATGAATGAAGTATTACCCTAATGAAACAACATTACTTTTGAGCAAACCTGGCGGTTTCTCTTTGATTTATTAGCTAATGGACCGAAGAGCGTGTAAAAATACTAAGAAAATATCGTTTCACCTCTTAGCATCCCAAAAGAGTAATGCTTCTCGCCATCAAAATTTCTTTCACTTTATTTGGATGAACGGATCACAGATTTTTCTCACAGCATTGAGACCCGATTTGACGACCCGAATGGCGTAGTCGGTAGTGTACCTGCCTTCTGTGCCAGAGGGTGTGGGTTCGATCCCCACTACTGGAAAAATATTGTGTGATGAGCATAGTGTTTTTCTAGTGTCTGGGTGTTTATATATGTATAATGTGTATTTATTTACCAAAGAAAAGTATGTTTATGTATGTCTATCAGTTTTCTAGTACCCATAGTACAAGCATTGCTTAGTTTGGGACTAGAGAATGTTGTGTAAAAAAAAAAAAGAACGTGTCCTAAATATATTAAATATATTAAATATATAGCATTAATTGTTTGTTTGATTTTAAGTTACAAGTGATTGGGCTTCATCTATTATTTTATTATGAAAAAGGCAAAAGAGCAAGTGGGTTACCTGATGGTGAGTAATCACCGCATCCGCCCATGGACACTTGCAACATCAACCTTGCAAGGTCGGTCTTTAAGGTAGGAGTAGGCTCTCTCCTTGAAGGTCCTTAAGTTATTTTAGTCCCGATATACCGCAGTTCAACTGGTTTCACAAAGCGGTTGTGTGTGGTAGAAAATTGCGAGAAAAATGCACATTTGTGTACCGCTAAACAACAAGGTCATTTCGATGGGATTTGGCGATTCGACGAGTTTTACAATGGTGAAACTCAGTAGCAGATTAATACGTAAAGTTACTCAGACCTTGATATGTGGAAAGGTGTAAATGCAATAAGATGCAACATCGGAGGTTAAAACGATGACGTGATCGGTTCTGACCTGTTTATCGATGATTCGAGCAATCCTTTGTTGGACAGGGTTGGATAGGGTATCCTAGTCCAGTGATGGGAACAGTATTTCATGTGCTTAAAGAGCTGTAAGTCTTGCTCTACTGAGGACCGAAAGACCGCGAAATTTACCTCGCCTAAAAAGCGAAGCATTAATAATGACGTTTTGTTTAATAAAAATACTGAATTAAAATACATTTTAGAAATAAAACATAAACTTGAATGAGCCACCCAATGTAAAAATACATTTATTTAATTATTTGATATCTTTTCACTTTGATTTTCAATATGATTCAGAGGGCTGTTGGAACGTAGAACTATACAATGCAATGCGAGGCCGAACAAACAAACTTCCCGCGTGACATTCAATTGATCTTTGTCCAGTGATATGTTCCGATACATCTTCACGCACGAACTCAAAAACATGCCCACACTGATTAATTCAAACGATATAGTACCACGATTGACTTATGGCGGATGACAAACAAGATTACTTTCACCCATAAAACAATATTGAGCAGCGTCTATGCTTTTATGCCGATTTCTGTTTGACCGTATTTTTTTTGCTTCTATTGTAAATACTTCAAAACATTTCGCACGACAAAAAAATGAAGGGGTCATTACATTTCAACCTAGATATAATGTATCATCATCATCTTCCTACCCTTATCCCACATAAGTTGGGTCGGCACATCATGTGAATCATATTGTAAGCGATAATATATAATTGATTCAAAAAGAATTAAAGGAACGTATGTGTGTTAAAGGTTAATACAATGTTAGTGTTTATTTAAATGATAAAAAACTCATGAGATTAATTATTAATATATTGATAACATGTTTTATTTGTCAAAAAATGATAAAAAAAATTGTCCCGCTGAGTCCCTTCGCCAAGTTTTTCTTAGGTCTGTGGTTTTTATTCCGAACCGGTAGTAGTATTTTGACAACTAATATGAATAAAGATATTTGAATTTGACATGTTTATATATAAAAAATAGAAGCTTACTTCTTCTATTTTTTTATTTCAATAGTATTAAAAGTTTTCATTATTAAAGCCATATAAACCATCATTAGATTTGGCTTTCCTTAAAGTCTCACTCGGTGAGTTCAAATTGAATTCATGAGACTGCGTCTCCAATTCGTCTGCGGGCCATTATCCCAAATTCTACAAACTTGCAATCGTTGGAATTGAAGTATTTGCTTTGATCTGTCTTAATTCAAGAGGAAAATTCTCATTTTGAAATAAATTATAATGAACAGTCTTATCCACTATCGCGCACAGGATGTCTCTTTTGTAAGGGGATTATTTGATGAAAATATTTCAATTGATACGTTGTTCTTAATATATTTTAGATGTACAGGATAGGATAGGATAATGTTTTCTTCAAATCTATTGGTAAATGAGCACTCAAAATTATAACAGTTTAAATTTATACTCAGGTGTCATGACACCGTACAGTGAATCCAAAATCAAGCGTCCGGACTGATTTCCACAACGGCAAATCTAGTTTTATTTTAGTATTTAAAACTTTATGACTGAGTTAGGTCCGTGTTTGACCTATAGGATACGTCATAGCGGATTGAAGATCTACAAACTTTCCTACAAACGGTACAACAGATAACAAATAACCATCCAGGTGATTATCGTTACGATATCACATGTTGTAGTCTCATAGCAAGGGCAATAAATGAAAGAAATTGACTCAAAGTCTCAACTTGAATCACTTAATTATATCCTAATATGCCAATAGATGTTGATATTGTAATATATGTCGCTTATAAACACTTGATCAAACATTTGATATATTCGACAAAATTCCTCGTGGCTGCATCACATCGTGACAAAACTACAATGCCACTGAAGTCATGTTTGTAAAACATGCTCAAGTCACTTCACTCGTGTTGTGATTAACAACTAAAGGCATTTAGTTCATCATTCAGTGAACCATCAGAGAGACTTAAAACTTTGAATTATCCCAACCCATTGTGAAAACTGTTTCCTCGGTCATTTGGTATCTCGCGTAATAAGAATAGAGGAAGTAATTAATCCACGCCTTTGCAGCTTAATCCCGAAAAGGGCTGGCTGTAGAGTCGGACGTGGCGGGTCACGTGCTTAGGCCTTTTGGTCATCCTAATCCATGTAAAGGCGTTGGGTCGACGCACTCGAAGCCGTTTATAGCGTGAAAATTATGTCTTTAGAGCCCACCGAACTTTTTCGGTCTCCTGTAGTTTTTAAAAACCCAATTTTTGATTGAAAAAGTTTTGGGAATGAAAATTAATAATCCATGCTATCTTTATCATGATGTTATATTTTTCAATTAATTTTATATATGATATTTCATTCTTAAATGACGCACAGCGCTGTTTGCCGTCAATCAACTATATTTTCTTCTTGGTAAAGAACTATCTATAACGTGAAAAAGAACATAATTTCCGAATCAAGGTGTTGAACTCTGTTGAGTCTATCTGCGAAGCTGCATATCCCACTATTTCCAAAATCTTGGAGTAAGGTATACTTCACCGTCCTCGAAGACGTACTATTGTTAGTGACGTTCTGAT